GGTTTCAAGAGATGATTCTTAAAAATATGTGAACCATTAGAATGAGGGATGATGATGAATTTGTGAAACGCTTACCGAAAGGAAAAGACTGTACAGCAGCTCCATTACGTTAATGTCCGCTCTTCTCACAAGCACGCCGAATTACATCATTCCAACACCTACATCCGCATAGAAGGATCAAGGCTGGCACTTTCGATTTCTTCAGGGATTCCTTGCCCGGCATGCTCGAGTACGTTGGAGGAGACGGGAGTGAAAAGGATTGGGAGGAGTATGTAGGGCTGAGTACAGAAATAAAAGCCCGCTCACCTCATTTCCTCACGCAAATGATGCAAACCATTTGTACTGCTGCCTCACATACATTTTTATTTCCCTAAATCCTCTCGATGGATTCTTCCCTTGCTGTCTCGTCTACTTTTCCCCGCTTCTCCTTTCTCAGAACGGTCACAAAGAGGGAGGCACGACAAATCTTTGAGCAATTTCCCTTCATGAAAACCACCAACGTCTGGAAAAGATTTATAGAAACGGGAGAGGTTGCGGATGAGGACGCCGTAAGTAAAAGTGGATCCGGCAAGCCTACTCCTACGACTGAAATGACCTTCCTCTCTTCGGCTCTCCATTACGAGGAACTTTGAGACACTCTAGAGAACAGCGGATAATGCAGCATTTTTTCCAAAAAGTTCTGTTTCATTGCTTTATTCCCTGTGTACGGAAGCGTTCGAGCTACTTTGTGTCCAGCTCTCTCTACCCGCCTGTGTAAGCCTAGCATGCCTCAAACAAAATTACCAACGAGGAGCCCCTCTTTCCCTCCCATTGACATTCCCTCATTCCGCCCTCCAGGCCGCCGCTGCAATGGTCGAGGCAGTGCGAGAGATGGGGGCTACCCTCATCGAGGCGAGATCTATCACCAAAGACGCCGACACTGTCGTCCAGCACGCGAATGACTTCCTCGATGATGTGAGATAGGGGAGGGAAAAGGAGAACGCCTATCATTGGCGATGTGTTGGCCCGTCCCTTTTCTGGCCTTTTTGTGCAAAGGAATGCTACCGGACCTTTGTTTTCTTTCCACTTTTGGGACTGTTTTTGGGACTTAACCACCCCCCCCTTTCCCTGTCAATCCCCTTCACCAGCTGAAAGCAAACGACGCCTCCTCCCCTGAACTCGTCGCGTCCGCCAAAAGGGGAAGTCCCAGGGCTATCGCCACTCTTCAACAGAAATTTGTGGACCAGTACCTGGGCGGGATCGATCTGGAGACTTTTCAGGTGAAATGGATAGAAAAGGAGGTCATCAAAAGCGCTGGGAGGAGCAGAAGGGCGTGGAAAAACGAAGGCAACCTTATCTACTTCCCTTTTCATGCTCTTTCTTCCGCTCACTTCTCGAACATCATGCTTTTATCTTCTGGTACATAAGGCAAAAAGTGCAAGTTATCATCAAAGCATCAATCTCTGAGTCTCTTCCTGGATCGATTTATCGTATCACTTCTCGTATACTTTTTGACCAGAACCCTCAGTGGGTGGACAGGGCACGAGACAACTTTTTCGCGGACGAAAATTTGCTTCGTGCGGTTGGGGACGAGAGCGTTCTGAGCAATCTTAGGAACCCGAACCTACGACCTCTTAAGGTACGGACATCCGTGTCCCTTTTTCCCTTTTCCAAGCGCCCCTCTCTTCTTTGGATGTTTTTGTTTCCAACATTCATCCATTGTGTTTGCTAGTGATATGAACTCACAGACCTTTTCAAACCTGCCCTTAATTTGCGGTTGGTTTGTTTCCCAGGTGAGCGAGTACGAGGAAGCCGACCCAGCGCGCATTCTGTCCTCCCTCACCGGTAATCAGGCGCCCAGCTAGCTCTGCGCAAAGCTTCTTCCAACGAGGCCCATGATAGAGGGGAACGCATGAAAGAAATAATCATTGAAAGGAGGAACAGAAAGGGAGAAATGGCGAGGCGGCCGACTTCAAAGGTCAGATTCCCATGAGTTTTTAAACGACATGCTTCATTTAATTCCTGTGAAACATTCACAAGAAAAGTGAGATTGATTTCGTTGTCCAAGAAATTTTCTTCAGATTTGCTGTCTGATGACCAGACGAAACTACGCTATTTTAAAGTTTGGTAAGGGATACCCTTCACCCTTTATCCCGCTGCAGAATCAGCCCATGATCATTTGTACACATAATCAAGAGCACTATGCACCCATGCGAAGCAATTGATTCGCCTTTTCGTCCCCTTACTGAGTAAATATGACTCTCGAAATACTGTTTTGTCGTGCGTGAGCACCCTCAGACAAGCCTTCGTCTCGATTCTCTCCGGCCAGAGCACTCCTTTGTTCGCCCTCGGCTTTGGAGGAAAGTGATAGCCGACTGTGCTTCTCGTACATCAGCTGCCTGTATGTGTACGTCACAATCAGCTGCCAATGGCGTGCATGTACTCACACAATGCACATGCATATTCGCGTCCGTGCGTGGATGCCCATGCGGGAAGAGCCATCATCGCTTCAAGTTTGTTGAGCGCGTCAGAATCTTGTCGCCATTTCAAATATTGCTCGTAAAGCTCGGGATTTTGCGCCACCGTGTGCAGATGAGAAGCCAAGGCTCCCACGGATTCAAAATCATTCGCATAAATAATCGAATGAGGTGGGGCAATCTTCTTAAGATTCTCTGCGTCCCCTACGTAGACAGGTACTGATCCTGCGGCAAGTCCATGAAAGACCTTTTCGGTGATGTAGTACGGATAATCTGAATTCTCTGCCGCAAAGAAGAAGAGGTATTGAGCGGCAACAGCGACAAGTTCCGCGCCCAGATTTTGAGAACCGTAGCGCCGCCAATCTGCATCCGTCAATGCCGTCACACCTTGCGCGGAGGAATGCGTGTTCCAGCAGCGGCCGTAGGAGGCATACGAGATCTTGGAAGATGCAAGCTGCTTAAGAATATCTTTCCGGTGCGTGCGGTCCGTGTTGCAGTTGGAGATCCAGACAGACATCAATTCAGGACGGGCTTGCTTCGCTTCCCAGGTCGGAAGTGTAAGATTAGTAATGCCAGCGAAGCCCTTCATGGTATCGTACACCATGTTGAAGACTGGAAGGTCATCATCGGGGCGGAACCCCATCGTTACATTGAATTGTGACATGATTTGAGGGTTTTTCCGGTTCGGGTAATGATCAGGGGACTCAAAGTATGTTCCCACCCATATCTGTTTCGCCGGTCGGGCCCACGGTACAGATCTGAAGGTTTGTATGTCCAGCACGACCACGTCGGCGGTAGCTGCTGACGAGGCGTCTCCATATCCACCAATTGCTTCACACGGCTGTCCACAGGACTCCCAGGCACCGCTGTCGTCGTTCCAGAGAGGGTCAGCACCGTATACATGGCTGTACTGCGCGATTCTTATACGTTTCGGAATATCCACCTTTTCCGTTTTCATGCTTATTGATTTGTCAGTGATATTAAACGCTTGTCGGGCGCGCGACCGCAGGTGCAAATACGTGTCAAGGCTGCTGCTTGGTTGTGCCGTTTCCACAGCCATGGATATAGAGGGAAGAATTTTCTTTGAGAAAAGCATTTTGTAACGCACGCTTTGGAAGGAATGTAAGAAAAGAAATGCGCATGAAATCCATGCTACAAATAAAATGATAAGTATCCATCGAATGCCAGGATTGTGACAACGTGTTTGATAGCCAAGTTTCCGCACAGGACTGCGAAACATGGTGCGCCGAGCTACAGAGCGATGAATACACCAGCCTCACAGCGCAAGCTGTGTGATAATAATGAATGGTGGAAACTCGTATATTAGCATTCATTTTGGTAGATTGAAATTCATCAATTTTACCTGCCGCCCGCACCATTTGCGATGGACGGGATGGTAAGGAATGTTTTATATTGTCACGTTGCAGATATGGGCCTGTCCCCCAGGATCTCTAACAGTTCAACTCGCTCGCTTTTTGGGAAAAAAATCCGAGATAACCTTCTTACCCCCCTTTGTGGTAGAGGCCAGATTGCACGAGGCATTTTGAGCCTTTTTGGATTTGAAATATTTTTTTTTGGCATTCGTGTTGGTTTTTGTGGAAAAGTTGGGGAAAGTCAACAACTCAGAAAGAGTACGCTTACAATAATAATGAGGCCATCGGGAGAGCAGGTCAGGCTTGGCATGAAAGCCTCAGGGACATCCCAGGGACTGAATTCTTTTGATACGTATGAATAGACACGTAGGTAGAGAGAATAATCTTTTTTCAAAAGGTATTTAAGAATTATGATGAGAGTAGAAAAACCATCGTGTGGGCTTATCCAAAGGCGACCTCCCCACGCAATAAAGCTCAATCGACCCAAATCCTTTCTCGCATCCGCGGCGAATGTGTGCCTTGGATACTCATGCCTGCGAGCCTACCGCCCGCTAAATCCCTTTGTTAGCAGGCACATTCTGTTTCCTCTTTCCGTCCTTTCCCTCTTTGAGGAAAGGGTGAGCTCCCGCCCGGTGAGCTTGAAACTTTACTCCTGATTTTCATATTTTGGCCGTATTCAACATTTATATTCGTATGGAGGAGTGATTTCGATGAATTATTTCGCTTGTTCAAACAAAGTCACGAATCCTGTGACAGTCGAGTTCATATTCGCTCTCTACACGAGCAGCCTTAAAGAAACCACTTTTTCTTTCCTCATTCAGATCATGATCAATCAGTACGTCTTCCTCCGACAAAACACTTACAAAGATTCTTTTTGAATTTGACTAATAAATCGATCTTTTGGGTCTCTAGTCTGTCTTTTCATACACTCGCTTTGCATTCTGCCTGCATATGGGCTGTATGACTGAGACTCCCACTTCATGGCCAAGTCTTCCTCGACCATCCTAAAGAGAGGCTAATACAGCCCTAAGATGACAACATTTCTAGCAATTGTTCATATCCATGAACGCCTTCGCCGCTTCCCAACACGGCTGTCAATCTTTCTGTACCAAGACGCGTATCTATCGGGATTGCATTTCAGGAACCACGGGATATGGTAGGCCGCCCCCACTGTCGGTTTAATCATGTCCCCCTCCACAAACCGCTTTCGGTCAGGCCAGACTGGGTTAAGATATAGGTCAAGCTGACTCAGCACCTCTTTTCCAGCGTTGCCGTCTTGGAAATATGACGCCATGTCCTGAATCAGGCGGACAGCGCGATCACTGCACTCAGTGCAGGCAACAAGCTTGGCCATCCGCATGGGGAAATAGCCGTTGTCAGTCATATGGATCCCACCGAGCAAGAATTTCCCGGACATTCCCCGCATTCTGCTAGGGTATTGGTTCCCGGCGTTCCCGTACTCTGTTGCGGAGGCTACTGTCCAATATGTGGGATCCCCTAACGTCCATGGATGTCCCGGCACGGGCCAGTCGGGCCGAAACGCCTCATCCAGTCGGGTCGGGGCGAACCACGATCCGATGTCCACCGAGGCACCCGCCATTGTGCAGTGTCGCAGCAGCTGGACATTGGAGCGAGCAGGGATCTCGTCGGTATCTCCGAAACCTACCAGGTCTTCGGGTCCGAAGTATTTGCTGTGCTTGTTCCAGCTGAGGAACGAGTCCCACCGAGCCTTTTCCTGCAGGCTTTCGCGCGCAAAAGGAACCTCAGGGTTCACCAACGTCTCGGAGTCGTCAAGGACCAGGTGGACAACTTTGTCTTTCACGAAATCGAAGCGAGGTTGGTATTTGAGCCGGTCCCACATGAGGATTTTCCGGGTGTCCTGTGCGGACGAAGGCGTGGGGAAGAGAAAGAGACCGCGTCTATTGTGGTGAGACTTATGGCTTCAGTCTCGGCGGGCACGACACGGAGAATTGCTCGAAAGCTTACGCTACGGCGCGGAGCCCGTCATGCCGGACTGACCTACCTTGTTATGCGTCCTTGTGGACTCAATGACGAAAAATTTGTCCACTACATCATCCAGTTCGTGGAGTAGGACCTCCAACATATCGGCGTCGAAGCCCATCTGGTCAAGACACGTGCCAAGAACGAGGCCTTAAGGAATGGGTGCTGAAGGGGCTTGATGGCTGACTGTGCAACAGGACGATTTATCTCAGAGATGAATGCATTACTTACCTGGATGAGGTGAGCGACCTTGACGGGTTTCTGTCAGCATTCAAAAATGATTTGAAGTTGGATAATTGAGGTCCTCTTGGTGGGAATAAATGCCATTATTGATCCCTTTCGCACGCCGCAAAGACATTAGCTGCCAACATTTCAAAGCCATACCAAAGACTTAATCTACTATCACACCCTTCTCACCTCACGTCGTTCCTTGGGCGTAAAAGCGTGGGGGTACTTCGAGCATTGGATGTCGGCAGCTTGCATCAGAGGCGGCGGGTGACAGCTCGGTCGAGGGGCGACGATGGGCTCTTGTAACAGACTCGTGGAGAGTTGGTCGAGTAGAAGTTGTGTGTAGTGCGAGGTTTTTGCCGTATCGTTTAAAGCAGCCACCGCATCGGCCCAAGGAAATTTCCCTAATGTACACGGAAAGGGAGGATCAATCCTATCATGAGGCATGTGTTACGAGCACTTTCCAGCATGCATCTGTGCGAATGCAGGCGAGCCTCATACACAATGCCACATATTTACAATGCAATCTCCTCAACCTCTTACCCATCATTTGTAGGAATGAGTTAGACCGAGCTTCACGATCTTCATTTAGTGGCTCGTCGTTAGGAAGCGTGGGTATTTGATCGCTACCATTGTGACCTGCTTGGAATAGCTGTAAAGAAGAGCCTATGGCACGGCAGCATCATTTTAATGGTTTGGGTTATATAATACAGTCGTAAAAGAATTAAGCATAGCTATGGATGGCTTAGCTGATATTGGAAGGCACTTAAAGCAGAAATTCCACAAGAGCCTCGACGTTACCTGGCAGAGTCGCCCCTTTCTCCCAGAAGTCCGTGCTATCAACAATGGCGAAATAGACTGCTAAGAGGTTGATTGTCAGTAGTGCACCGATTAGAAGCCATTTCTTGGATTTCCCTTCCGGTGCACTATCCGAGTTTCCAGGGTCGACCATTTGCCACCCTGCCTTATCTCCTCCCTTGGCCAATCAGTGACAAAAATGAAAAATTGATTAATATGTGCTGGAAAAATACGCCTAAATACGACTAAATATTATAGCAAAAGGGCTCTTGGTTAAGAATTTCCCTGTCTTACTTTCCATCTATCTTTGTGGACGGCATATGTGCATGTGGGTGCTGGCACCCTAGATGGTCGCGAGCTTTTATCGGCATGTTACAAACAAGATACGCTCAAGGAAACCAATGCGTATCAGCTCAACCTTGAATATACCTATTTTTTTTTCATGGAGGATGTCCATATGTACTTCTACTATCCGGCCGTGTAGAGGGTACACCGCGATGGCAAAACATGGTATATCAATGCACATGATACGTATAATACATACATCGATGTGGTCAGGAACTGAACGTGTCCTTTTTTTTAAAAAGCTAAAAATAATTTGTACTCATTAGCGGATCCACCGTGTTTCGGGGTCTCTTTGCTCTACCCTTCGTGTAATTGTGGGGGTGTGATATTCTTAGCTAGTCTTCAGCATGGGCCGTTAAGTAGGGTGAAACGGTCCTGCGTCCGTTCAAAGCATGATAATGCCCCTTCCTATTACACCCTCCTGCCTCTGTTTCCCCAGACCATGCGTTGCAATCAGTAAAGTTACACAAAAGTATTATCAGCCTTGGTAAATTTCTGAGATTTTAGTCTCGAAACTTTCTGTTGCAACTCGTTTATTTGACAAATTGCCAAGGGTAGGCTGGTACTAGAAACGTCACCGTAAACGAATCATCATACAGGTAAAAGCTGATTTAAATTATGCATCGGAAGTGAAAACATTCGAAAGCCATCTCTATTGATCTCTCGCACTATTTCGTCCCATTGAATGAGTTTCTTTAGATGACAATGGCAGGTGAACACTTGCGACCGTACTCTGACAGTGGATCCCTTGATCTCGTCGAGCCTCGTATTACATATTTTTTTTCCGAACAAGGATAAGAAAAGCATCAAATCGAATCTAGCTCGTTTCTATCGATAATTTGCATGTCTGGGACGTTGATGCCGGGCTTTATCGTGTGCAAATTATTTTTCTTGAATTTTGATTTTGGGACAAGGAATCGCATCTCCCGTCTCAGCCTTCACTTGATGTTCGCGAAGTCAACAAAGATTATAGTTTCCACCAGATCTACCGCATAAGCATGTAGGCGGTTATGGACAATGCTTTCTCACGATGCTTTCTCGTACAATAGTCACTCTGTGGCAGGATGAACCGAAATAAGCGCTGCCAAAGGGGTCAAAAAGTACACAGGACCTAAAGGTGGTGAAAAGGATGCACTCTTTCCTCTTCAGAGCATAACTTATTCCATCATTCTGTAGCATCCTACCCCAAATTGCATGCATAGAACGTATACACACTACGATACTATAGCCTTTTCCACTCCTCATTCAGAAAGAAGCTTTGGGAGCACGTATACCCCTGCCGACGCGTTCCACTCAGCGCCTGAACAGGTGCCGAGCACTCCGTCTGAGCAGGTAGACAAAGATGAAGGAAAGAGCCGCTCCAGGACAATCTTCGAGGTTCATGAGAGAAATTCGCTCGGTATGAGAGGTTCGAAGCCGTAGGGAAGGTATCCCACATTTTCTCGTCGAGATAGCTATCCTATCGTTCCTCGTGCGGCGTCAGCGAAGGAAACCTTGCCAATGGTGATTCACTGAAACGATAACGGAATATCAACCGACAAGTATGCTTCGTCAGGCACGTCGTGGCGTTCCATTGCTCGAATGTGCAGACGGATACTTTTTCTCATGGCATTGGGGAAACGGATAGTCTGGAATACTCGCTTACAAGCGATGCTACAGCTCCCTCAGACGCAATCTCAGGGTCTGTCGACACGGGCGCCAGAACGAAACTTTGTCCCTCCTGTCACACCCATGCAGTCACACGACACAAGAGCGGTGCTCCAACTTCTGCGAGAAAAAAACTGGTGCTTGTCCAGCGCAAGGATTGCGTAGGTAAAGGCGCTGTACGCCTGGAGTGGAATATTCCCTTCTCCCAAGATCCAGCCAGTCGACCGTCGCTGTCGATCAACTTCGAGGACATTGCCCACATTCCTCCTTTTTCCATTCAATATCGCACCTCAACACTTCGCACAAGGCACGATCGGGCAGCGAGACAGATATCAGTCGCGTCTCCCCCCCCCCTCACCGTGGTTTTACCGCCCCTTTTCCTCTCCTTGAAGTCACAGCTAGCCCTCTGGGTCACCGCCAGGTCGAGATGGGTTTGTTTTCTTCTAGGCGGTCATCGCCTTCACTTTCTGCTCCCTTCTACAACGCATTCCGTCATCGACGTTTCTTCCCTGCTGCTTCATCATCGTTTTTCGTCGTAGCCTTCCTCTTTTTGGGTTTGAATGGCGCTAACGCCTTCACGGGCGGGTCTCGACCACCCCGAGTACAAGTATCAGGAAACTGGGCGACAAGAACACCGGTTCAACGCGGCAAAGGGGCTTGTCGCATGCAAAGACAGGTAAGAAAACGAGAGACAATACTGAGAAGAATACGAGAGGGACTTACCGGGCCTTTCTGGATGGTTTCTACCTGGGATGAGAGCGATGTTCGACACTGGAGGGGGGAGTATCACCTTCCCGGTGCCTATGCGGCCTTTGTGGAGAGGGAAGGATTCAAACTTTGAACACGATGCATCCGGCATTCTCGTGCTACACAGTGATTTCTGGTGACTTCAAAACACTCAATGGAGGCTCTTTTGTCTGCGGGCTTGGGACAGACTCCACTTATCTCTCATCACCTCCCCCCTCCCTCCCCCCCTCCCTCCCCCCCTTCCCTCCCCCCCTCCCCTCTCTCTCTCTATATGTCCCTACAGACGCGGGAGGTGGAAGTGTATGATCCATCGTCATACATTTCTATCATGAAAAATCAGCCGGTGGAATGGTTCGATAACACCATGTCGTACGGTGTCTTCAATTGGGGGCTATCTTCCACGGGGGTGAGAAGGAGATGGAGGGAAGGAGGGAGGAAG